TCTAGATTACAGTTCTGCAGACTGGGAGGGTCTATTTAAAACGCTATCATCAATTGACCTTTCTTCGTCAATAGTCTTAGGTAAATATAATAGTGACAGTTCCGGAAAACTCCCTATAACAACTTCGACAACCTAGAAAATAATTCGAGCGACATTGACGATGATTGGCAACGTTGGTGTGATCGTTATATGAATGCTGTGTATCGTCACATTCCTACCAAAGTCATCAAGAAACGCAAATCTCCACCTTGGTTTGACAGTGACGTTCGACATCTACTGAAGAAAAAGGAAACAGCTAGACGAAGAGCGAAAAGAACATCTAACACCAAACACTGGGAATCCTTCCGTGAACTTCGCCGTTGCTGTAAATTCCTACTTTTACAAAAACGTAAAAAATTCTTCCAGAACTTACCCAACTTAACGAGATCTAACCCGAAGAAATTTTGGTCGCTGTTTAAATCCGTTTCAAAAACGTCCACTGTGCCAAGCAAAATGACCTGGAAACGAAGTGAAGAGACTATAACAGCTGAAAACCCAGAGGACATTGCAAACCTTTAAAAAAAAACAACTACTTCCATTCCATGTTTAATCCTCCCCTTTCCCAGGACGAGTATAATAATCATCCAATTCTGATCACCTCAGCCTGTGAACCAATTACAGATATCCATATTTCCTCTGATGGTGTCAGACGTATTCTCCTCTCGCTTGATGTCAGCAAAGCCACAGGCCCAGATAAAATCCCTGCAAGGTTACTCAAATACAGCGCACCCTATATCTCGTCATCGCTGAGTGATCTATTTAATAAGAGCTTACATACAGGAAGAATACCAGCGGAATGGAAGATATCAAATGTAACACCTATTCCTAATAGTGGTCAAAAGCATGAAGTCTCAAATTATCGGCCAATCTCTCTGCTCTCCATTGTATCGAAAGTCTTAGAGCGTTGTATCTACGATCAACTAATTAACCATCTATCCTGCCAACTGCATAAACTCCAGTTTGGTTTTCTCAAGGGAAAGTCTACAACATCACAGTTACTCCAAGTTCTTCATGACATTGGCAAATCGCTAGATAAAAGAGTTCAAACGGATATTCTATACCTAGACTTTGCTAAAGCATTCGACAGAGTCGATCATAAACTACTCATCAAGAAATTACAAAGCGTTGGGGTTGGTGGTAACTTACTGGCCTGGTTTGAAAACTATCTCACTGACCGCTATCAGCAAGTTACAGTTCTAGGCAAAACATCACAACCAATACCAGTGCTGTCAGGTGTTCCTCAGGGTTCAAATTCTTGGTCCATTATTATTCCTTATTTATGTGAACGATCTACCACAAAAGGCGACTTCATCGTCGGTAGCGCTATTTGCTGATGATACCAAGTGTTATCGTGCAATACAAACAACAGAGGACGTTAACAATCTTCAAAGTGATCTCGACGAAATCAATCAGTGGTGCCAGACGTGGCGTATGAGCCTCAACCAGTCTAAGTGCGGTGTTCTCACTGTGACCAGAAATCGAAAGCTAGTTCCATCAAGCTACAACCTGACAAATCACGATCCTTCAATCACATCAATGATCAAAAATCGAACTGTGCAAAAAGACCTCGGGGTTCTTATAACCTCAGATCTCAAATAGAACCACCAAGTATCAGCTGTATGTATGAAAGCTAACAGAATGCTGGGGTTTGTAAGAAGATCTTCTAACAACCTGAGTGATCCTCGTATCCGCTGCACACTATATAAGACCTTTGTACGAAGTCAATTTGCATACAGCTCGCAAGTCTGGTCACCACAGTCTGTTTTTCTTATCCTTGAAATGGAAAAGGTTCAAAGACGTGCAACAAGAGTCATCTTGTCGTTGCCGTTTGGATCCAAAACAAGCTACAAAAACCGGCTGCTAAAAACTGGGCTACTCCCTTTGAGCTACTGGCATGAGTACCTGGACTTAATTCACTTCTTTAAAGAAATGAGACACAGTCAAAACATAGAAGTTAAATTAAGTAATCGTGTCACAAGGAGCAAGGCATTGAATAGCGTTAGTATAAACATACCAAGAGTAAACACCTTAACATATCAAAATAGCTATTACAACAGAACTCCTAGAATCTTCAACAGTCTACCGCCACATATACGTAGATCAGATGTTACCATTGGACAATTTAAGTCATACTTATTGGATTATTATAATAAGATGACTGAACTGGTATATAACATTGATGTTCCGCAATCTTTTAAAACTATCTGTGTTAAATGTCATTCATGTCGTCCGTTATGTAAACTTATTGATAAAATGTGCTGTAGAGGTTGATTCGCTGACCTCAGAATATTTCTAATGAGCTTCTCAGCCTTCACTGTTCAAATTGGTAATATTCTTGAAACATATTACTATATTAAGAAACTAATACAAATTGTTCAATGTCTGATTGTCTCTATGAGGGCAGCGAAATAACCATTATCTTGTAAATGTTGTTTGTGCATATATAATGTAATTTTAGGTACCCTATTAATGGAGCAATAAGCTCTGTAGGGATCACTGGTCATAATTGACAAAGCATGTAAATAAATAAAAACTGGATTTAATGTTGACATGAACAAATACTTAGGTTCAACATTTAATGCTGATGATCTTGAATTTTATGACCTGCTAAAAGAAAACCTGATGGACACAACAATCATAACCATGTAAGTACATTGCTTACTGTACTCAACATTATAGATACAGTACCAATAAATTATATGAATCTACAATTTTAAAAATTTGGGCAACTTTTTAGGCCAAAATGGATTTCAATTTATGGAACCATTTATAAAGCTGGTTGTGTGTGGTTGGTGGATTATGAAAAAGAAGATAAATGACTCCTGGTTCATAATAGAAGCACTGCATACACTTCCTGTGAATAAGCTTTTAAATGCCTATGAAGTGAGCAATGCTGGGAAATTGGCAACTGTGAAACAGCAACAGATTATTTATCATTTGCCACTTCATTTGATCAAAGTTATTGATCAAGAACTAGTGAAAATCTTCGTTTGCCTAAGCCCCAAAGTTTCAAATTCCAGTATCCAGCTCAACTTTATAAATATTAAAATTTACTGAAATATACAGTTATTCTATAGTCCAGTTCATAAGGAATAACGACAACAACTCGCCAATGTTTATATTGGGGTTTAGCCCTGTTGTTGTTGGTCGTAACACTTTTTGTGTGTAATTATGTGTATTTATGTGTGTTATCTGTACGTAAACGTATAATTTAATTTCCTCTTTTGTCAAACTGACATAAACTAAACTATCAAAACTAAACAACAAATTGTTTACTAAACATGAACAGTATCAATAAACTCACCTTATATGCATTTTTGCGGAGAGGTAATTGTAGGCTAATCCATATGTATCTTCCGGGTATAATCGATATTGTAATTCCACTTTGTAGAATATAGACGATAAAATTGGTAAATTTTTTTGGTTTTCTTATAGACATAATTTGCACCGCGGTTTATTTTCATCATTCACAACGCAACTATTTTGGCTATTCTTATGAAAAGAGGGATAAATTGTTGCCATCATATAGATGTAGTGAATGTAGTCACAGTTGTTTGACGAAGAAAAGAGACTAAAGTGAGAAAATCGCGCCCGGTTTACATGAGCAACTAAAATTATGATTTAATAGTGACAATATCCGCGACTAACGTAACTTGAGTACTTTGAGTAATTTCCTGTTGATTAATGCTTAATCTAGTTCATTATATTTTTACTGGCATAAGTCAAAATGTTGAGGTTGGAACAAACGTCTTATTGCTTAGGTATCACATGCAGGGCATGAAAACTTTGCACTAATTTTAGATCACTAATTATTTTTTTCGCACGCCCCAAACGTATGGGGTGAATTCTGCCCAAACGTACTTTACACCTAGTACTTTTACCCCAGGGGCCGGTTGTTCAAAAGCTGGTTTAACCATGCATAGTTAATTAAAACACATGGGGTAAAGCAAATCCTTACATCAATTTTTCAAGCGCTTGTTTACAAAGTTGAATATCTTTTTCTAGACAGAATATTTTCTGGACTGAAAAACGCAGTGTTTTGTAAAGCTTTTAAAACTAACAGCTGTTCAAATTCATGCTTAAACCAAAACCGTGGATTAAAATTGAACCCAAGATTAGCGTTAAATTAACTTAGCTTGAACAACTGGCTCCAGTTTTTTAAATTTACCCTGGTTTCCCAGAGTTTTTTTACTTTTTTTCGTTAAACGGTGTATGTCTTCGTTATAGAGATTTCACAAGGAAGACAGGCAAACAAGTCTTCACGAAAAAACATAGGTCATCTCATCCTTTTTATACAATGCAAGCATATAACTGAATAAGCATTTATTGCAATTATTGTTGTCCGGTACAACAGAACTGTTGGATCATTGCATGGGGTGATAGAATATAGTTACTTAACGAACGTAATTACACCACTTTGGGAGTAAGTATAACCCTCAGAATACCACGAAAAGGTAATAAAGTTGCCTCGTTCGATTACACAATTAAAGAGGGTAAACAGCCCCGCGCTAAATAACTCACAGTTTTGACGTAAATATTACCCACTTTTTTTTACCACACCGACTTGGGTAATGTTCACTCCAATATGTGGTAATTTTTACGCCTTCAAATTTACTGTGTAATTTAAATCTTAACCGCCAGTTAATACAATTTTTACATTGAATTTATTTAATTGCATGCAAGGCATTTTAGACACCTATAGCTATGATATCAAACTGGGGGCGGTTGTTCAAAAGGAGGTTAGCTTAAGCCAGGGTAAACTCAAATTTTCACATCAATTTTTACGCTCGTTTACGAAGTTGAACATGTTTTTTCATAAATATTTGGGGATCAATAAAAGTCTTATTTTGTAAAGTCTTGAAACAATGCAGAAACATATAGACCAAAACAGAGGAGTAAAATTTAACCCAGGGTTAGCGCTAACCTAGCTTTGAACAACTGGGCTCTGTAGGCTAACATATCATCATAATTATGTTCTGGGCTTTAAAACAAATCGTTTTTGTTGAAAATTGGACTTGACTCTCATTATAATATAGCTCCACTGGCAATCAGGCCTATTTTCAATGTCTGCCGGTGCGAATAATCGTAAAACTAAAATACAAAGAGATAGAATGGTGTCGTGTTGTACACAGTGGCGTAGCCAGCCTGACAATTTGTCCCGCTAGGTAAAGTTCCATTTATAATAATTCTTCATGTCGTTGGAAATTTATTGTTTTTAATGTCAAGAACACCAAAATATTAGCATAGCGGGACAAATTGTCCGGCTGGCTGCGATTGGTTGTACACAATTTTTTTTACAGTAGTTGCACAGTTTAGATTTTGCTTTATGCTAGTAGCATAATATAATCATACAGTTTCTGAGATCTATGGCATTGTTAAAATTAGTCAAACGTGCGAAGTATCTGAAAACATAGATCTTCATAGTACTTGAATAAAATGTTTTCATTGCTTGCTTTTAAAATTAAAGCTAAGTATTGCATACGCCTAACCATGTTATATCTCAAATCCTTTAGCTTTGGGACCAGCGCGCGTACGCGTTGGAAGACTACTTGCTTCTTTATAAAATGACTTCAGATGGGGGACATAATACAGATTCAAGAATGACGATCCAGGTAACACAAGAAATTGCAACACAATGCGTGGAAGATTTTCATCTTTTTCCACGTAATTGGAAATATATAGATTGATAATTGTATGTACAATTGAGTTCAAAGATATTAAAACTAATTCACCATGTTCTGAAGAGAGAAAAAGCGAGCATTCTTCAATTTTTTCGTACGTGCTGTAAGCGCCTCGATCGATATGCTGCGTAAAAGCTCCCACGGAAGAAAGTGGTAAGGGTTCATGCGACAAAAAGGAAAAGAATGTGAAGGCGTGTTTCATAACAGAGTCATTTTCGCCAATCCACCTGATTGCTAGTGAAACAGCCGCGTACATCGTTGAAAAAAAGGCATTCGTATATTCGCCCTGTTTCATTTTCGCCAAGTTTCGCTTCTCTTGATCCAGCTCCCGCAAATAACCTTTCCATGTTATTTGCATCTTCTTGTCGCGACGTTTTTTCATGTATAACGCAGCGGACACCAAAGCAAGAGGTTGATGATCTAACTCTTTGGCAACTTCACTTACTAAATCTCGATGTTCAAAAAGCCCCGAAAGATCTGTAAGAAGCGTAATAGATTCTGTTGGGTGCATTCCTTGTCTAACCGACACATGGACACTTGACGAATCATTTGGCGGCACAGATATGTTTTGTGTGGTAATTAACACTTGACCACCTTGCCAACTTTCATCTTTTATTGAAGGGAGGAATGGGACTATTTCATCAAGCTTTAGTACATTTAGTACTATTATCAGACAAGTGATTTTAGTATTGACGTCCAATTTCTTTTCAATTTCTAAGAGAACTTTCTTTACCTTTTCTCCAGTGCTTTGATTTGAAAAAAAAATTCTATCAACGTCATTTTCAGTGCAATTCAAGCGGTATGCAAGTTCGACGTATGAATTCAGGACATGAAGTATTGACCTGCCGTCGATAGTCATCACAAATGAAATGTCGCCAAACCACCCACTGGTGCTATCTCCAAGATACTGCTGACCAACTAACCTAGCCATTTGAGACCGACCACTCCCTTGTGGGCCCGAAATATATAGATATGTCAACGCACGATTATTACGGGAAGAGAGAATTCTCAATTCGTCAAGAATGCCGTCCACAATTTGACTTCGATTGACAATTGCATGACCTGGGTTTGGCGGGAGCACCGTAAAATATAATTTATTACGAAAAATTATTTTAGCCAATAACCAAGATGTCGCTAAAAAGACTATTGTCATAACAAGTATTGAGCGGGCAGTGCAAATAGAACCATGCCTTTTATTTCTTGATTTCCGGACTTTTTCTATGTCTGCGGTAGGAAGCGATAGTGCAATAAAGCTTTGCTTTATCTTTCTGTATACATTTTCGAAAGCAACGTCGGACAATTTATGCTGTGTTGAGATAACGTGTGCCAGATTATTTCGGAGAATTCGTAACGCATCAACGTTATTTCTGACATGAGCAGGAATATAGGGCTGAAGCGCTGTTGAATACAGAATAGCGTATGATAAAGCCGAACAATCCCAATCGGCTCTTCGTCCGGACCTGAAAACTGGAAGAAAAGTTTTTGCGGCACGAATTGAGCCTTCCATATTAAACAATTCGTTTCCAGATATACAAGTATCATCCCACAAACCTTTCGTGGCACCATACTGTTTGTCCCATTCCTGTTTAAATACTTCTCGAAGACCCTCCATGACGGGGACGTTCATAATTTCTAGGATACACTCGAAATTGTCTTTCTCTTTTTTATTTGATGCCATAGTAAACTCTGAAACGCCAGAGAGAATGTCTATTTTAGTAAAATCATCCTAGAAAAAAATTTAAAAAGGATAACTAGGACAACTTTCACCAATACGCCGTTATTAATACTTACTAAATATATATGTCTCATTAAGCAATTATACCTAATAATTTCGGTGTTTGGATGGACAGATCAAAACACGCTTAAATGTTTCGAGATTTAAAAACTCAAACAACATTTCCAGGTGTTTGGATCTGGCTATCCAAAAACGGGTAATTGTTTCTTAAAATAACAAGAAAGAGACAGTTTTCCAAGTTAGGTTTCCACAAATTAATTAAATTTCTTACAAGGTTAACTTTAGAGATTAAGTTTAATAAAAAAACTAACGTTGGGAATGACGTTTCGATGACATCTTCCCATCGTCGTCAAGGACAGGACAATTTATAGAATTTTACATAAGTAAATATATAAACATATAAGCAAAACAAAAGTCTATTGTTTTAGATATTTCAAGTGATTGTAACAATGTCAAGTAAATACTTTAGCACGTATCGAGTCGGATTGAACGTAACGTCTTAATTGACTTGCAGTCTCCAAGTAAGAACAAGCTGCCGATTCTTGGGATGGAGATAGAAAAGAATGGCAGTCAACTGAGTACTAGCGTTTACAGAAAACCAACAAATACTGGTCTTTCACTAGATTATCACAGCCATGTAGATCAAAGGTACAAAACTTTGCTCCTAAAAACGATGTTGGATCGTGCATATCGCTTATGATCAAGTAAAGAGCTTTTCAACACTGAATGTGCTAAACTCAAGTCTATTTTCTTCAAGCTGAGGTATCCAAATGAACTGATCGATTCTATAATCTTGTCCTTCGATAAGTCCAAACCATGGGTGGATCCAGCACTAGTGCACTAATTTGCATGACACAAGAAAACTGCTCAAAATAGCCATTTTGTTTTGTAATGCAAATTAGTGCACTAGTGCTGGATCCACCCCTGGTCCAAACAGTCGAATGATTTGAGGTTGCCCTCTTTTGTACCAGAAAACGAGTTTGTGCGCGTCGTGTTACCATACAAAGACCAGAAGTTGGCTGATGTCTTAAGGAAACAACTCGTCAATCCAAGTAAAAGAATCGGAATAACTCTACAGCCCATTTATACTAGTCGCAAGCTCAATGATGTTCCTGGAGTGAAAGAATCAAAACCTACTCTGATCAAACAACAGTGTCTGGTCTACACATATTCATGTCCTCTGTACGATGCAGAATATCTCGGCCTCACAACTCGACACTTGTTTGAAGAGAAGAACACTATCGGAGCTCATCGTCAATATGTTAACACGTTCATAGAGATCATGACGTAGTCCTAAGGTCTATTAACTTGACTAAAGACTTTTCAGTACTTAAAAAGTGTCAAGGGAAAATGGATCGACTGATTTACGAAATGCTGCTAATTAAAAAACACAATCCATCACTTAACATTCAATCACACTGGATACGTGCTAAAGTATCTACTTGAATTTATTATATTCACTTGAAATATCTAGAACAATAGACTGTTGTTTTGCTTACATGTTGAACAAAGTTGTCAATCGCTTGTAAGGTATCCGTAAGATACCTTGACACATGCACTGAAGTGATCAAAGTCTCAGATAGGTGAGGTAAATCAATAATGATTTTTGGCACTTCACTCGATGCACGATTATCTTAATTTCGAGTGGTATTATACACACTTCAAATTCAAGCCATGAACAGTTGATGGAAAAATGAGTCAGCTATAGGTCCTCCGGCAGGAATCGAACCTACGCTTTTGCAATGCCGTGCAATGCTCTTCCCACTGAGCTACAGAGGTAGCTGACAAGAGCAAGCGTGGTTAATGTGTATAATAATTATGATAGAATGCCGGGAATAGGTGAGTAATAGGTAAATCAATAATTATTTTTGGCACTTAACTCGACGCACGAATATTCTAAAGGTTTAAAGGGTCTTAATTTCGAGTGGTATTATACACACTTCGAGTGGTATTATACACACTTCAAATTCAAGGCTTGAAGTGTGTATCATACCATTTGAAATTAAGACCCTTTAAACCTCTAGAATATTCGTGCATCTAATGAAGTGCCAAAAATCATTTTTGATTTGCCCTCAGCTATTCCCGGCATTCTATGACATACACATTAACCACACTTGCTCTTGTCAGCTACCTCTGTAGCTCGGTGGCAAGAGCATTGCACCGGCATCGCAAAAGCTTAGGTTCGATTCCTGCAGGAGGACCTATATAGTTGACTCATTTTTCCATGAACTCTTCCTGGCTTGAATATGAAGTGTGTATAATACCACTCGAAATTAAGACCCTTTAAACCTCTAGAAAGTCTCAGGGCCTGTTTATATGATCCCGCCTAGCCGGGACGGGACAGTTTCCGAGATCCCGCTTGTAATACAAACTCTAATTAGTGTTTATATGATCACTTTTCCATCCCGCCTAGGCGGGATCCCGGCACTTCTTGCCGGGATCCCGCTTAGACGGGACGAGAAATTGCCATATAAACACTCCATCCCGCTTGGCCGGGATGATTCGCGATTAACATACATTAGGAACATGTGTATATATTGGCATATTCGTTTTCTACAATAAAACATGCCGTCGAAGGAACCTGCACTACAAAATGAACTGCATATAAACACGCCATCCCGCCTAGGCGAGTTTCCCGGCTAAGCGGGATGAAAACATCCCGTCCCGGTTAGACGGGATCATATAAACAGGCCCTCAGCCAGCCTTTACTGAAGTAGCTTCCTCTGCAGGCATCTCTTATGTATTCATATTAGGCATTTATATTTGGCTGGGGTTAGCTGTGACGGGGAGCGAGAAAAAAATGTGCGAAAGATGTCACAGCCATAAATCAATGAGAATGGACGTGTCACTGTACCACGTGGACTTTTCAATGTACCCTGGATCGATCCCCTAAGTAGATTTTGCACTCTAATTATATATTAACGATTGTCCTTGAATGCAAAGGAGTGAAAAAGTTCGAAAAGAGCGAAGCTTTAAAAATGTCTTTTACAGTAAAGCTAAGATTATCGAAGATAATGGTAAACATTCGGTAAATATTAGCAAAGATTATCACAGTGTTGTGAAAGATGTGAAAAAAAGACCATCAGTGGTAGAAATTACGCTAAATAACACGCGTAATATAAAGGCACAGTTGGACAAACTTACCGCGGATATTGAAACAAGTAAAGGCTAACTTCCGAAAAAGAACCATACAAGGCACCGGTTATTTTTGTGAAAAGGACAGAGCCTTCTGTCACGTTGACTAAGGCATACGAAAGAAGCGTAATTCGAACATTCGCCTTTTACCGCCCCCCCCCCCCCCCTCAGTGAAAATTTCTATAAAAAAAGACTGACAAGGAGTGTACTAGACAATCAAATTCTAGGGAAAACTAATGGATGCGCAGCCCTTAAACGCCAGGGGCGGATCTAGGATTTTTCAAACATAAGTCCAAATTGGGAAATTTTGAGAAAATTTTTCAAATCGGCAGAGCGGAATTTTGATTATTTCGGATCATTTTAGGGTTCATCACAATGCCCAGGAAAGACATACTAGATTCCGCTTATTAACAGAGCTGGCGAGGGTCATATTTCAAAACACACAACTTCGTACTCCCATATATTATCCCCTTATGATAGCAATAGTTGATTTAACACAAATTAAACAATATCCTCAAATAAAATAAACAGAAATATTTCCATTGCTTCGCGTAAGATGCATTAGGCGTGCAAGAACTTTACAAAACCAGGTAATCATAACAAACATAATATGCTATAAATAGACGCGACTATTATAATATGCATCGCAAACTTCAATATAATGCAAATTATCAAACACTCTAACGAGTGTTGACTGTTGAGTAAGTAGGCTTATCCATTCTAGTGCATTTTACGACGGGATAAGTTTTATAACCATAATATTATGAGCATACGAACTAGGAAGATTATGATATACAGGGTGTATAAAAAAAACGCAACCACTTAATATTCATGAATATCCTCTTTGTTCTACAACACAAAAGACGTTTGGCACCTGGAATGCGAGAAAGCTTGTATTGATCATATTCTAGCGGCACAATCGTCGGTAAACAAAGTCGGGTGCGTAAACCAACGATCTGAATTGAAAGTATTTAACGAGTAAAATTTTATTTACAATTTATTTTACAAGGTCGACAGTTAGCATTCAAGTTATCATGCACGACAATAAAAACTCGTTGTTCGGTTGTTAGCTGCACAATTACTAGTTTAGCTGATTTGACTATTAGCAGTTGAAATGTACGATTAGAAGCCATTTTAAAATCCCAGGGGCATAAAATCTATTGAGCTTATGAACAATATGAATTTTAGAATATTAAGTGGTTGCGTTTTTTTTTTATACACTCTGTATAAACTATATTGATAATTGATCAGGTTTATACACAACAAAGCGGCATGAAATCAATAACTGTGAACGAACTTGTCACATGGAACACTCCTAAATCATTATATTTTTAGGCATATTGCTATATTTCTTATATTATATCCATTTTAAATGTTTCTCTTACCAACACAGTCTTAGTTTTCATGTTCAACAGGGATATCGTGATTAATTCCCTCGTCTATTGAAGTCTAATATCAACAAATTGCTCGCATGAAATCGCTGCTCCACGATAAAGTTTATCAAGAGCCAATTATTTTTTGTAAAATCCTGCTTCGAATGTCCGCGAATTAACACAATTTTCCAACAATAAAGTTGTAATCCTTCGTATAACGGAATATTGGAAGTAAAGAGCCTGGCTTCGTTTGCAATTTGCAATTTTGCAATTTTATCATCCTGAAGACAGAGCAATCGAACCCCGTTTAAAGTTCAAGTCAGTCCGGCCACCCCGGAAATCAGTCGAGATAAGTCCGGTAAATTCAAACTGACCAATCGCAATGCAAGAAATGGACTGATTTGGCCCCCTTAAAGTTCCTATATCACTTGTGGGATCTTTACAGATTTGAATAGAGCTTGAAAAATTAGTTTATAAGTTCTACAACCTTTTTTTATATAATTAAATAGTTTCGAAAATACGTCGGTTGGGGGGACTGGGACTCAGGAATGATTTGCAAACACGCCGTCTTTTATAATGTAAACATAAAAAGTTTCACTGGCGATATAGTTTGCGCTTTTGAAGAAAAAAATGCAGGAATGATGCGTTGTGTATGGCTGAGCAACTGGGCGAGTTTTTCTCAAAATATTTTACGTTATTGGAAGATCGAAGTAAAATTACGATTGATTATATTATGTTTGACAAGAACTCGGTTCCTGAGTCCCAGGCCCCCGAGCACGACGGAAATTTAGTCAAATCGTCATGTTTAGATGTAAATATCTCCGAAACTATTTAACTATATCAAAAAGGGTTGGAGAACTTATAAACTAATTTTTAAAGCTCTATTCAAATCCGTAAAGATCCCACAAGTGATATAGGCACTTTAAGGATGCAAATCAGTCCGGCCACCCCACAAATCAGTCGAGATAAGTCCAAATGGCTTATCGACCAATCAAATGAGCCGGCTGACCAACCCGATTCTGCGAGTTTTTTGCATTTTACCGCTGCTCTGGATGAAAGAATATTGCTTTTTTGAAACTGAACGCTGTAACTGGACTATGATTTTAATTCTTATTACAATCTTGAAAGGGTTAATTATTCATATTTCAAGATAAATTTGAATATTTAATTATCATTTTTACTGCCAAAAATACGTAAGTCGCGCGACTGACTGGACTTACCCTAGATCCGCCCCTGTTAAACGCTACATCACGATTATTTTGCTTTCCTGGTATCCAAATAATTCACGGCCGATCGACTTTTTGAAAAAGCTAATACTTTTTATCAAATTTAGACTTTATAGACTTTATCAAATTTACGCTGGAGTTACCCAGAAACAATCAATTGCCCTTTTTAGATACTTTAGTTACGTTTAATCCACTGGATAAAACATTCTCTATATACAGCGCTCTATTGAACCTATCCATAGAAAATGTATTACACCCTGGGACATGGTTCGGTAGCATCCAAACGAGCAGCTCTTATAGGTGAAATAAAGAGAGCAGTCAGAGGTTCTACCCATTGTAGTAATAATAAAAAAATGATACATTATAAAATTACTCAAATAGATTCATTTTTGTCTGACCATATTTCCACAATTTCGTACAAAAATTGTCATAACATCCAAGTAAACATCAAACCGTCGTTCGGCTGCATTGGGCTTAAGCAGGCATTTTATAGACTCCAACAGATTTCTCTCACACATGAAAATCGAAAAAAACCTTCGACTAAACTCCATTTTTTTATATTAATGAATTAAATTAAATAATTTAATGACACAACCAACAAGCATCAACTGTTTGTGTAGTGTTTATTAAGGAAGTTTAAGGAAGTTAAGTGGAAGTAGCGTGTGCTTCCAATATGGCTGTATTTTGTAGTTTACTTTATGAAATGTGTGTGTTAAAATCCATTGTCTTTTGAAACAATCTAACATTAAATCAGGTAGAATATTACAGTTTGTAAAATAAAAATGGAATAAAAAGGAAATTATCATGGGGAAGTAGTTGATGTTTGCATTTACCATGCCTACATTATAAGACACCCACCCACCAGGAAGCACTAATTACTTCCCGCCCTTTTTGCATGTTTTACATAAATTAATTGCAATTAACACTTGCATGCACAGACCACAAATATAGCAAAAAAAAAATGGGCCAACTGCTTTGATTTCCTTCTTAATTAACTACAACATTGAATTTATCACCCATTTATAATGAACTCATAAAAAAGACTATCAAGCAGCCAACTCATCTGCTTCATGGTGTGTTTCGTTTAATATGGCTAGGGGTTGTCTAAATATTGTGTGTCCAATATCATACATAACTGGCTTAATAGCCTGAAGAATTTTGTAGAATGAATTCATTAATTCAATTGTTAATTAGTTTTATTTGGTGTATCTCCTAAAGGGGTTGGACTTTTTTGTAATGTTTGTCAACTAGCAGTAATGTCTTGCAGGCTCAATTAGCCTTAAATAGTCATTTAACAACAGAATAACAGAATTTTGTTAATTTATGCCTGGCGGTATGTAAACACCTTATAAATGCATTTCTCATTTTGCTTCACCATACAACAAATGTAAGTTGATAATAAAATGTTTTTCAATTTATCATACCTAGTGAAATAAACCTAAAAAATAGAGTTTCCTCTTTTACTTTTTAAACACCTTTGTCTTTGGTTAGACACTTTAAATATCAGTGGTCATTGATAACATACATTATGGTTGCATTTTATTGTATATGTGTATAGCCCAACTTTTAGAGTCAATTTCAATGTTTGATAGTGCATTATTCTATCTGCACTTTAATACAATATCATAATCATCACACATATAAACAGCAGGATTAGCATGATATTGCACCATAATGTTAAGGCTATTATTGTTACAATACTACATAATATAATTATTTGGTAATAGGTAGGTCAATATAATTTTAAAGCTGGTTTATATTGCTATAGTCAAAAAGCCTAAATTTGCCAAAAAATATATTATTACACAGGTATATTCTGTCCCCATGTATCATGTCATTTTAGTATGGTTATATATTTTGAGATAGCTGTGACTATCTGCAACACCGGCGATGGCATTTTGTTATTAGAGAGTTTTAGCAATTAGCAGTGACAACGAGAACGACTACGAGATTCGTCATTCTGGCGCGTTGTTTACTTACGCCATCAGCCAAAACTCGTAGTCGTTTAAACTTGCTTTCGAGTACGAAATTTGCCAACAAACGTGTACTATTAAAGCAAACAACGACGATCTATCAACAATCCTCTCTAAACACTAGTAATATTAATATCTCAGCAGATATTTCAGCAGATATTTATTACTACAATGTATATCAATCGACCGTACTATAATGCACTTACCGATTACCGAAGTTTTTAAATACTGACCAATTCGAGATGCACGTATTAATTCTTTTAGATCTCATCTGTAATGGTCGTTACCAACCTCGCATTGCTCGCAAGCCAGGCTCTTTTACCTACGCTCCAAGGCCCACGCTGCGGCAAAGACTATGGTCAAGGCTGGTCACGTGATTCTTTTGTTACGCTTCTCCCGTGTGGGGATGGGTGGGACACAAGTAGCGCATAAATCACATCAGTTAGGGGGTCCAATACCAAAATTTTTTTCTGTCTATTGCCACTGTTGCACTCAATTCAAAGTATGTTGTTACGTAGAGTCTCCTGACTTCAAAAATATATTTAGCGAACCAAGATATAGTTACCAAGATACCATACCCCCTACGGTGAAATACAGGTAATTTTGTATGAATGATAATTAGAGAAGCATTTGTCACAAATTACATAAATTCAAAAATAACTTCAAAAAGAAACTTCAAAAATAGTACTTCAACATGCAAGCACTAAAAACATCTTTTAGAGAACATCAAGTGCGTTTTGCACAGGATTTTTACGATAAAAGCATCCGTGAAAACTACAGAGTAAAGTATACTAAATTTATCTGTATCAAACTCGCAATTAAATTGCCCTTTCTTATGAAAAACGTTGAACGAGGAGTGAAGCCGGGACAATTCAAAAGTATTTGTGTGAATTCACTTAATTTCATTGTTTATCAATTTAATTCCTCTGAAACCTACGAGAAAACATTCTAACAATATTTATTTAACAACAAACTACAGCTAAATTTTCTTTTTTATATGTTTTATGAGCACATAACAACAAAATATATATTTTTTGTTTTGTTGCCTGCAAACCTTTTTGAAGTAGTGATCGTTTTCGAACAAACTGTTTACATTTCCCTTATAATTTCACCACGCCGCGGTTCGAGGTATGCTTTAATCGGCATTGATTACAAAATTATAGCCTAAATCATTAAAATAAACGAACAATCCGAACGAATGTAACTTCGCCGCTAAACAGTTCATGTTTTCCTTATGTTCACTCCTGAAAAGGCCCTCGCGAGAATGTCTCGCAACATGTACACGCGTGTCTGGAGGTAAAACACGCGTGTCTGGAGGTAAAATTTGGCTTCAATATGATTTTGGCTATTTTAATCAGGAGGTAGCCTTCCAGTTCTTTTGAATTCACTGCCATGGCGTGAGGTCACTGAGCTATATTGCAATTTCTGGAGGACCGGCTCGTCATTTTTCGCCGCCATCTTTTTGAAGCTGAAAACTGATTTTCTATTTTCTATTATTATTTTATATCTTCTTATATTATTATAAACCGTTTCTTTGTGCACATCCTTTGTTTTTTGGAAATCTTTAGGGCTGGCAATTGTTATAAATGAAAGTAACATAAACTCATTCAAACACTTTTTTATGTGAAATCGTGCATTTTGTCAACTATTTGTTTTTATTTTTACAGACAAAAAAGCCCTGAAAACTTCAGAAGTGATGACTATTTTAAATAATTGGCTAACAGGTATTAAAAAGGTGTCTTTACCCGGGTTTGTGTAAATCAGGCCAATCATTTCAAAGCAAAAAAAAACAATGCATCATTGATATTGTTAGCCTTTTGCCAGGCTCAGTATATATAGTGATACAGGCCGGTTACAAATTGTGATAAAAAGTGCAATAATTGCATACCACCAAGGAGGATGCACATATACCATACTAGTCATACCTTCATATATCAATACAAATTAATCTAACACCACCAGTGGCGTAGCCAGCATTGATAATTGGGGGGCCCATATTCATATATTTATGATGTTAAATGTATTTATTATTAAATAATAAAGGAAGTTAATGTTATACGGGTCATCGTATCGTAGTGTCTCGGGTCTTAGGACGCTGGTCCGGTCGGTTACTTGCCCCCTCCGGTGAGTATAAATATGAGCCCAGTTTGCCTGATCGAGTTGTTAGTTGTTTGCGTCACCCATCCCTCCCTTTTCCCAAACGACTTCACGCGATGTTGTGAATTCTACGGGAGAAGCGTCTTATTAATCTCTCTGGGTTTTTTTTGTTAGTTTGTTTTGCAGGATTAAGCACAGTTCTTTTCACACCCGTTTTGGTCGTTGAATTGGTGTTTGGGCTAAAGGTAAATTCATTAATGATCGCCACATTTACAGGTATTTTTCTTTTTTGTGTGTGTGTGTGTACTTTGATGTTCGTATCGCTTATTCCACGGTTTCACTTCAGTGACTCACGTGTGACAGTTGATCACAGGATGGAGGAGGTACCGTTAAAATAGCATGGTTCGTAGAGTTATTATCTGCGCCGAAAACAGCAAACTCAAAAGAAACACCGTTTTACCCCTAGCCCGATCGTTTCGCTCGGATACCGTCTCCATCCCTACCAATCGGCAGCGGGCAAAATATAGTGTAAGAGCTGGTGTGCTATCATACTGATGTGAGCCTTAGGATCCGTTAGAACGTTAACAGACTGTAAAGACAATTGATTTGAAAGGAAATTAATCCTGCATATCTGGAATATATGAATATGGCCCTAAGACCCTAATTATCGTTCTGGCTATGTCACTGAACACCACATGTTTTAATTGCAAAGTAAGTTTCCATTGCATTGTGCAGTGCTGACAAACCCTAAGAGGATGCAAGGAAAAAGGGCAACATGAGCTCCACTTCTAAATTTATTATATCAATAAATTCTTAAACACATCCGAAATTACTAAAACAATAATTTCGCGACGCGTGGCCGAGTGCGCCCATTGGCGATACAGCCTGGTGATTAAATTAATGTAGCGCGAGCAAGATGGCGGAAAGCGAGGAATGCGCGGGAAGTTCACTGTGCGTGGGTAAGTTATCGTTTATTTGCATATTTGAATATTTTAGCATTATCATTTTAATTCCGCTGTTTGTATTTTAACGAGTGACAAAGCGAGATTGTGATATTAACTCAGCTTTCTGATATAAAACGTTGTTATTTTTAAGACAATAATGCATGGATTGATCATTGATGGCTATCCTCGGCGAAGTGTCAGAAAAGCCCATTTATTAACAGCTGATGATTTTATATAATTTAATATCGTTATTAGCATTCGTTTTAGTAGATAGAAGTTCAGTCTTAACGCAGAATGTCAGCACTTATATACTGTGTTCCGTGGTGCCAAGTGCAATTTTCGTGTAGTAACGCCACAGATTATATTTTTTATACGTTTATACCAATACCTCTGTGAATGACTGCGATCAGAAATTTCAAATTTGTGGATGTTTAGCAAACATATGATCCTCTATTATGTATATACTGTTCCTTCCTAAGTTATCAATGACAATATAAATTATTTGACCATCAAATTTTTCTTAATTTACGGTTTCTGAATGTAATGGCAATTAATATATTAGATTAAGATTCCCTTGTTATTTGCAATTTAAGGGATAAGCAAAAGACAAATTACTGAAGAGCAATTAAGCTTAAAAATGTTACAGCTACTACCGAGCAATTAAGCTTAAAAATGTTACGGCTACTATGAACTTTTGTATATTTTGCATGCAAATGGAAAATAATTTCATAAATAACTTTATATATGATCCCTAAGACCCCAATAATCTTTTTTGAAGCAAAATGGTGAATCTACACTAATCGTTCATAACAAACTTATTTTCCACATTAAATATAAATGTTTTTTTAGATTCAATTACAGTCAACACCTGTCTTAAAAAAGGGATGAAAGTAAGTTTTTATTATGTTAATTTGCTACGACTGATGAAATCCAGCTAAGTGCCAAGCAAGTCTAGTATGCAACTGTACAGTGTGTGCAGTCTTTCTCAGATTTGCATTGGGTAAAATTGAGTATTACCCAATTTAAAATTACCCAAGTAAATTTAGTATAGCACAACATGTACCATTGCCCCCAAAACCTATGTATGCATTATCAAGTTTATTGGCTTTTAAAATACATGCAGCTACTTATTGACTCTGTCTAACACAAGAGTATTTTACAAGATATGAACAAGAGTGGGGTTTTTTTCAAAATCATGATCAGACAGACTTAGGTTTTGATGAATTTAGCTGTAACAACTAAAGTACAATTAGGCATATCATTGAGCAATGCAAATTAGTGTGTTAAGTCACCTGCAACTGCCATTGGCATTCTTACCTGAAATGAAGTAATTCTTTACCACTCATGTTTCATATACAAGGGCTGTGATTTTATCTAATGACTAACAGCAAATGTTGTGTAAAACCATTTAGTGGCACGTGATTATTGTGCTCAGTTTGCCAACATTACCTGAAAATGAACAGTGTATTTTTATCAAATAGTTCTTAGGTAACATGCAGTTCCTTATTTGTAAGTTTTTAGCTAACCCAAAAATAAAATAAATAGATGTGGTATTTAAACCCCCTCTCTTACTACACTTGCCAACTAATTAAAATAAAAGAATCATAATTGAATTTATATATACCTAGAGATGCTCTGGGTGTGGACTGGAACAAGGGATTGCAAAAAAGGTTTGCAAGAACCAAGGTTGTTCTTTGAGGTTTCCAACAAAAGAGAAGAATTTGGATGCTTTAAAAAATATGAGCAATCCGAACATTACGCAACAAAGGAAGCACATGGAAAAACGAGTATGTTTACAGTACAGCGTCCAAGCTGGGATATCTCAAAGTATGATTTGAGTGCAATTTAGAATTTTTGCACAGTCATGTCCTGGAAGTGAAGCTGTGAAGAATGATTGTAGTGAGGATATTGCGTATGACGCACATGCAAAATAAGTTGAACAGCCAGTTTTATCGGTTTCACTTCCAAGAGTTTAGGAAGTTGTCACATGACTGTGCAGATCCTCTATTTTTTAGGGGCTGTTTACATGAGCCTGGTTACCCGAGATTCAACGAAGTGTGAGATTGTTATGAGGTATTGAAATAAGTCTTTATGAAACCAAACAAGCACATGATATTATGTTATATACTCATTTCAATGCCTCAATGTCGTCTCATGCTTCGTTAAATCCCGGCTAAGTGGGACCATGTAAACAGCCCCTTAGTGTCTCGAAGGCTATAAAAGGGTACGAATCCGAAGAACGAGTGATAATTGCAATTTCTCCTGTTGTTAAAAACTAATTCCACTGTAGTTATATCTAATCAAATTTGAACAATTTACATAGCTATACAGTATATAGTGTAGAGTATTATTGTGTTACTATATAAAGCAAAATCACATTTCGCTGTTTTTCATTTAGGCTGATATTCTGAACATCCACAACAACTGTGATATTGTCATTTTAATGCATCACAAGCATGGAAGTGGCGATACGTTAACTTTCTATGGAACGGAAGGAGCTGGAGTTTCTTTCATCGGAAACAAAAGTACCATAGAGACTTCCGAAGGTGGTCGAGTAGCACTCAATTTATTTAGAAAATTCATTGAAGGTAAATACGAAATGTTATGACGGACAAGCATATGTGCAATACAATATTATTCCTATTCTATTTGCTAGCACCTCACACCAAAGATAAAGTAAATTCAAAAATTCCTTGGCTTTGGAGCAAAAACTACATTGTCAGACAGCTTGTGATGAACAATGGTCCTCTTAGGTTATTTTGTGCATTTTTAATTTTTGCACCCCTTTCGAGTTTCCTGTGAAAGTCCTTAATACCGCCCGAGAGTGCCCGGGAGCAGCTGAGAGCCTGAGAGCGCCCGGGAGTACGCAAGGGTGAATAAATCTATGTGTGATTCCTTTTGAAGATTTTTGACTTCTTTTTTTCAACAAAAACAATGTTAAACATTTCTTCTAAATTTTCTTTCAACGTGGAAGAAAATGGATAGAAGGTCATTTCTATAAAATGGGTTGAAGGTAATTTCTGCGCCAAACTTAAGAGGCGAAAATGATGCTTTAAGAGACAAATTGCTGGTTAATTTAATGTGTTTTCCACCAAAATCACTGCATGGTTGTTAGAATATATAAACTGTTCATCATGCAAGTGATTTCACTACGTATGGTAGCCTTCCCAAATTGTGACAAATTTGTATTTGCATTTGTTTATTTGGTATTAATCAGGTCTTCGCTGTAGATAGTTATATATTTGTCAACATAAAGATTTAAGTGACGTTGTTGTATCTTGGGTATTTATGTTCGGTAACCACGAAGCTAAATTAAACTGGAAGTCAATCGCCAAGAAACAAAAAAACAATGTGTGTTACTCTAGTAGGTTACAGAAGTCAGAAGGGCAGATTTTCTATAGGCGACAACTTTTCAGAAGCTCACTCTGTCTACCAATTTCCGGCTTGTTTTTAGCCAACAAACTTTATATTTACAGAATTACTTTTTTGGGGACACCCTGTATACTATGTTATATTTAAAGTACAAACCAGTGCGTGACCATGCATTCAAATTGCAACAAAAGCTTCACTTCGATAGGGGGTACTTTTAGGGCGGACAGCGCCGGACACAACGTATAGTGCGCTGTTATAATCAACCAATCAACCATTCAAAATCTCCCTTTAGTTGCTAAGAGCCTAAGTATAATTAGTATATGTGCTTTTAACAGATGTTATTATTTTTACCTAAAATTTGGGGATATTTTCTATGTATTTTAGAGTATAAAGAAAAAGAAGGCTTGCAACAACTGCCTGAAAAACAGCAACAAGAACAACCACAGCAGCAGTCAGAAGAACAGCATCCACATGAACAACTTCCACATGAACAATTTCCACATGAACAACAAGAGCAACAACAACGACGACAAGAAGAAGAACAACAACAACAACAACCACCACCACAACATGACTGCCAACCAGAGGAAGAACAAACTACTCTCATGATGTCCAAAAAGCTGCAATGGAAAAGCCAGGTTCTCTCCAAGATTCTGGGTAAAAAAGAAGCAAATAATGTTCTCTATGGTGGAATGGTAGCTTCAGAGGAAAATGTTGAGGTTATCGATTTAACCTTAAATCAAAATGAAAGGTTAATTTTGTATCTTTCTTGTAAAAGTTATTTCGATCAAGATGCCTGGTGTGCTGTTGGTTCCAATATACAACATAGATTAGATGCCACTGGAATTATTCTTCCTGTTTACAATGCAACGAAAGACCCGTATTGGCTCTTCTATTTTCCTGGAAAGTTGGATATTGTAATGACTTCAAAATCTACTACAAAAATAACTGGCTTTTGGTTGGATAGTTGTGGTGCACAAAAACATGTGTACCAATTGATGTCAAATGAGACCAAAATATTTGGGAAAAATATTGTTAAAACTGAACATGGACCATTGTACTATATTTGTGATTCAAAGCTTTCCTCTGGTTCCATTTGGAAGATACCCCCAATTTTCAACGATACCATTATCGAAGTTTTGCCTTCACAATAAATGATGTCTGCAATACACATTTTCATGAAAGACAGTGTTTGATCGTGGCAAACAGGGACAAATATAGTACAATATACGAACATAACATCTCTATTGTTATTAAGTTATTAGCTTAAAGTTTCACAAAACTTTCTTTTGCCGTACTTTTGTAGTATCTGTCACATACTTTACAAGAGAAAAAGTCAATGCATGCATGTGCGGAATTGTCCAATAATTTACATCCACAGTTCATAGAATTTGCACATGTTCTTTTGCAATAAAGCCTGAAGTCTTTAGGGAGAGGTTTGCATGAACTACCACCATTGCAAATGCATTTAAACTTAGGATAATTGAACAATGCACAAAAGCGAAAATAGGGACAAAGATATTGCAGGTAGTCAATTGCAAGCTTGCAGTCATCTATGTCTATATTATTCATGCATGTCTTATGCATATAAGAAGCAATAGTAGATTTACTTTTGTAACCATTCTTTCTTGCCACCAATCCCAATGCTATAACTTGGTAAGGGTACATTTTATGGACAAAGTATCTAACCATTTCTTTTAAAGAGTGCATTTCTTTTTTGCTATAGGATGTCTCATTTCTTTTTAGCTTTGACTTCAATTTAGGCAGAACTCCACCACCAGTACAACAATATTGCTCACTTGTGGTTTGTTTTCCCATTATGACATGTTTATCCCTTAGTGAGGTCTCACCCTTCAAATGTTGCCATGCTTTACCCAGTCTTCTTTGCATTTTATTGGAATTTTCTGTATTCACATGAGGTAGTATTGCTGGAGTGAGGGGGTTTTCTTTGATTATTTTCTTTTTAGTTACCTTGCTATCTGATTTGCATTTTTTAGCACATGGTAGTTTGTTGTAATCCTCCATTGAATATATTTTATGACACCTCTTCAGATGTGGTAACAATAACAGTGTTTTTTGACATAGTTTACAAGTCTCCTTCTTTCGGTATTTCATATGATTTGGTGTACCAGTCATTGTAGGTGGCAAAGGTAAATATCTGTGCATTTTTGCTGATAAAGTTGGGTGAATTCTTTTTAGATGTACATCTAGTCGTTTGAGATAACTCCCATATTTTTGGCAACTCTTTACTTTGCAAATTCCTCCTTTAGCCTGCAAAACACATTATAGAACAATTAAATGTAGATGAAAATTTATATCCATTTTGCATGCAATTATAGGCAAAAACTACAAATATAACACTAGATAATGGTGGTCATAAATATGAACTAAAAGGTTTGCAGAATGTATTATACGAAAGGCTATATCTAAAGCTCAATTTAAAAGATATATGAAAGCTCAATAATAAGCTAATTAAATGTTTCATTATCCATGCAATTACTCAGGGATTTCATTCAGTTTACTGAATAATGTGGGCAACAGGGCAAGACAACATTGCTCATTCCTGCTCACATCAATTGATTCAATACTGCAAGACCCTAGTCATTATTATAGATGTGTAACTAGATATTCAAATCTGTGTGTGAAGCTACTTCACACAACTTCTAATTGAAGGCAAAGAAGCCATAGTCCCCATAGATGTTGCTTCAATATAATATATAATTTATAGAACTCTCCTTTAGGGATATATCTTTTAATTCCCTGTGAATTCAATATTAAAGCAAAATTGACATTGTCCAATGAGGACAGAGCAATATTCAATATATATGCAAAGAACTGTGCATATTTTAATAAATAAGATATACGGCAATACAGAAACAACGACATCTTTATCTTATAGCTGTCTTTATAACAATCAATTTATAATTTGAAAAACTCACCATCTAAAAAATAAATAAAGTTTCACAGAGAAACAAATCAGGTATTACAAAACGACGAAGTTCACTTGGATTAATTTAGGCCGGCCAAGCAGTACCAAAATTAGAACTTCCAATTTCAGTGATAAAAATATTATATTTCCTTACATTTCCTTAAACTCAATATATAATAGAGCCTTTCGATAATTACGTCACAACATTACCGTTTTAAATGGATTTAAAGTTTTAGATGGATTTAAAGTTTTACTCTCACAAGCTACGTGGAAAGATGCAAAACATCCTTCTTCAAAACATGCATGAAAAATAATTTTTAATTTTGACCAATAAATGTGGAAATAAGTCGTAACATTAAAACGAGACTACCAGGCAACGACCAGCAGCCTCGTTCTTGTGTTACGGTTTATTTTCACACTTGTTTGCCAAAAAGAAGAATTGTTTTTCATGCATGTCTTGAAGAAGGATGTTTTGCATCTTTCGACATAGCTTGTGAGAGTAAAACTTGAAATACATCTCATTTAAGTTGGTTCTAAATTTAAAACGGTAATGTTGGGATTGGTAAAACGGTAATGTTGGGATGTAATTATCGAAAGGGTCTATTGGTTTCCCCCTTTTAACGTTAAGGCGGAAAAAATAAAGGCCTGACATTCAGGTTAGTTAACTAAGGGAAAAAACATTGGTTTTAATACACCCTAGTTTTACAACAGTTAAGCACCCTGTTACCGAAAGATAACACAAAAACGCACAAAACAGTAAATTAAGAACAAAAACGTGACAAATATGCGAATTTGTCAACATTGGTGTTACTGCATCATTGTTTTACAGCAGTTAGGGCACCCTGTTGCCACAATAAGACACAAAAACGCACAAAACAAACACATTAACAACAAAAACGTGTTAAATATGTGAATTTGTCGACATTGGTGTTACTACATCATAGTTTTACAGCACTTAGGCACCCTGTTACCAGAAGATGGTACAAATACGCACAAAACAGTAAATTGGGAACAAAAACGTCACAAATATGCGAATTTGTCAACATTGGTGTTACTACACCATAGTTTTACAGCACTTAGGCACCCTGTTACCAGATGATGGTACAAATACGCACAAAACAGTAAATTAGGAACAAAAACGTGACAAATATGCGAATTTGTCAACATTGGTGTTATTACACCATAGTTTTACAGCAGTTAAGCACCCTGTTACCAGAAGATGGTACAAATACGCACAAAACAGTAAATTGGGAACAAAAACGTCACAAATATGCGAATTTGTCAACATTGGTGTTACTACACCATAGTTTTACAGCACTTAGGCACCCTGTTACCACAAGATGACACAGAAACGCACAAAACAGTAAATTAAGAAAAAAACGTGACAAATATGCGAATTTGTCAACAGTGGTGTTACTACACCATAGTTTTACAGCAGTTAAGCACCCTGTTACCACAAGATGACACAGAAACGCACAAAACAGTAAATTGGGAACAAAAACGTCACAAATATGCGAATTTGTCAACATTGGTGTTACTACACCATAGTTTTACAGCAGTTAAGCACCCTGTTACCACAAAATGGTACAAATACGCACAAAACAGTAAATTAGGAACAAAAACGTGACAAATGCGATTTGTCGACATTGGTGTTACTACACCCTAGTTTTACAGCAGTTAAGCACCCTGTTACCACAAGATGACACAAAACGCACAAAACAGTAAATTGGGAACAAAAACGTCACAAATATGCGAATTTGTCAACATTGGTGTTACTACACCATAGTTTTACAGCAGTTAAGCACCCTGTTACCACAAGATGGTACAAATACGCACAAAACAGTAAATTAGGAACAAAAACGTGACAAATGCGAATTTGTCAACATTGGTGTTATACACCATAGTTTTACAGCAGTTAAGCACCCTGTTACCACAAGATGACAAAAACGCACAAAACAGTAAATTGGGAACAAAAACGTCAAATATGCGAATTTGTCAACATTGGTGTTACTACACCATAGTTTTACAGCACTTAGGCACCCTGTTACCAGAAGATGGTACAAATACGCACAAAACAGTAAATTAGGAACAAAAACGTGACAAATATGCGAATTTGTCAACATTGGTGTTACTACACCATAGTTTTACAGCAGTTAAGCACCCTGTTACCACAAGATGGTACAAATACGCACAAAACAGTAAATTAAGAACAAAAACGTGACAAATATGCGAATTTGTCAACATGGTGTTACTACACCATAGTTTTACAGCAGTTAAGCACCCTGTTACCACAAGATGACACAAAACGCACAAAACAGTAAATTAGAACAAAAACGTGACAAATATGCGAATTTGTCAACATGGTGTTACTACACCATAGTTTTACAGCAGTTAGGCACCCTGTTACCAGAAGACACAAACGCACAAAACAGTAAATTGAACAAAAACGTGACAAATATGCGAATTTGTCAACATTGGTGTTACTACACCATAGTTTTACAGCAGTTAAGCACCCTGTTACCACAAGATAACACAAAAACGCACAAAACAGTAAATTAAGAACAAAAACGTGACAAATATGCGAATTTGTCAACATTGGTGTTACTACACCATAGTTTTACAGCAGTTAGCACCCTGTTACCACAAGATGAACAAAACGCACAAAACAGTAAATTAAGAACAAAAACGTGACAAATATGCGAATTTGTCGACATTGGTGTTACTACACCATAGTTTTACAGCAGTTAGCACCCTGTTACCACAATGGTACAAAACGCACAAAACAGTAAATTAAACAAAAACGTGACAATATGCGAATTTGTCAACATTGGTGTTACTACACATAGTTTTACAGCAGTTAGCACCCTGTTACCACAAAGACACAAAACGCACAAAACAAAATTAACAACAAAAACGTGTTAAATATGCGAATTTGTCACATTGGTGTTACTACATCATAGTTTTACAGCAGTTAGGCACCCTGTTACCACAAGATGGTACAAAACGCACAAAACAGTAAATTAACAAAAACGTGACAAATATGCGAATTTGTCACATTGGTGTTACTACACCATAGTTTTACAGCAGTTAAGCACCCTGTTACCACAAGATGGTACAAAACGCACAAAACAGTAAATTAAACAAAAACGTGACAAATATGCGAATTTGTCACATTGGTGTTACTACACCATAGTTTTACAGCAGTTACACCCTGTTACCACAATGACAAAACGCACAAAACAATCAAATTAACAACAAAAACGTGTTAAATATGCGAATTTGTCACATTGGTGTTACTACATCATTGTTTACAGCAGTTAGGCACCCTGTTACCACAATGACAAAAACGCACAAAACAAAATTAACAACAAAAACGTGTTAAATATGTGAATTTGTCACATTGGTGTTACTACATCATAGTTTTACAGCAGTTAGGCACCCTGTTACCAGAAGATGGTACAAATACGCACAAAACAGTAAATTAAGAACAAAAACGTGACAAATATGCGAATTTGTCACAGTGGTGTTACTACACCATAGTTTTACAGCAGTTAAGCACCCTGTTACCACAAAATGGTACAAATACGCACAAAACAGTAAATTAGGAACAAAAACGTGACAAATGTGCGATTTTGTCGACATTGGTGTTACTACACCCTAGTTTTACAGCAGTTAAGCACCCTGTTACCACAAGATGACACAAAAACGCACAAAACAGCCAAATTAGTATACTTTCATATACCTTTAGTTAGCAATATATATAGAACTTGACATAAGTAAATCCTCATATCTGTTTATAATTTCCACGGCCAAAAAATTGTTGCCTTGACAAAGATATTATATTTTAATAAGTCAAAAATAATACGACTTCAAAAGGGTATTGTTCCAGGACGCCCTTAACTTTACGAAACAAAGTTGATTTTGTACAGAATTCAGAAGTTGTGTTTAAATAATATAACGACTTTTTAGGATTTAAAGCGAAGAAAATAACTTTACGAATTATAACATTTTACAACAAGCACGAATAATTAGGGACGTATCGACCATCTTAGGTGTCAAACTCCCATTCGGAATAGATACTCTCATTGTCGTTATCAGTGTCACTGTCGGTTTCACTATCCATATCAAAATTTGTATCTCTTTCCAGCTCATCCTCCACATCTTCATAGGATTGCTTAGTATTGTCATTGTGCGACTCAATTATGTCCTGGAATCCAGACAATTGTAAACCGAGAACTGGCAAGAAAGATTGGATTCCAAGCCTTAATTGTTGCATGGCAAAGTTAATTCCTTCGTTAACCAAGGCAAGCTTTCCTCTGACAATGGTCCTTTTGACTGAGCTTGTAGAATAGGTTTTTGCCTAAAATAAAAAGATTTCAATATACGTTACATAAAAAGCAATCGCATAGCTTACAGATGTGGCTTACAGAAATGTCGAAAAGGAAATTGCGGACCTAAATAACTTTTAAATTATCGCATCTTCGCATTAGATACACACAATTAACACCCAATAGACCTTCCAAGAGCTTACATAATGGCCAAACAATAAAAAATGTGCGTCCATGAGAAGGTATGTACGGCGTAGGTTTTTAGCTTTTTGATACACCATGCATGTAATGCAGTATAATTCCAACCATAACATTTTGCTCGTATACAAGAAACTTCGTGCTTCGTGAAGATGGTTACAATATGGTAGCTGAAATGTTCACTGCATGATTCAGGATATGGGCTATCCACAAATATGCATAAATTGTACTTCATCACCCTTTAAACCTACAAAGTAATTACCGCCGAAAAACATACCACACACACAGCACTTTCCACCGCAAGAACAGGCTGTTCACCACCACATTGGCTGCGACTTTTACCTATATGTTCGAAAATTAAAAATAATTTTAAGCCTGGTTTTCAGATGTCAAGGGCCACCGACACAATAACCATCGTCAAAGAATTACGTTATATGAAAACCAGCCTTTACACCTGCAATAAAAATTTGGATCTGTTGCATTTAGCCGAATAGACTGCAGTTCAGTCAAGGTTATATTGCTTATGTTCTTTGACGCGCAGCTCACAGAGTTTAAAAACATAATTTACATTTTTCCAATAAGGACAAAAGCTTTTTGCAATCGATCGCTGAAAACATACTCTATATTTCACAATTCTAAAAGTGACCGGGAAAATTACCTTGCAGCAGGTTTTCCAATTTTGCAAGTTCGCTATAAAGTGCCGGAAGGCATTTCTTGGTGTAATATTCAAGGTATTGGAACATTTCCTTTTTAGTAACTTCGATTTCCTCCTGAAACCGTTGAATTTCCATCAACTTATCCACCACAGATCGTCTCGTTACCAAAGGCACTATTGTATGAAAGGCACAATATATTCATATATAATGTACTACGCGTCCGGCAATTTATAATTATGTACGTACAAGTTCTATTTGCAAGCCTGGCTCAGTCTGTATACGAGAAACAGTAGCTACTCACACTCATCAACTGGCTCGTTCCGAGAATTCCATGGAAACTTTCCATTTAAAATTTCTTCTATGTTGCTTAGCGGTTCGTCTGCAATTCGATTATAATTTGAAATCAAAGAATGGATACTCTCTTTCTCTTTGCTGATCTTTCTCCTTAACTTATTTCGTTGCTTCGAAGAATCTTGAAGAAAATAATATTTGGTTAAAATGTTACCTTCCCTTTATCCCGCATGTGGAGGCTAATTTTCCGCGGTTTCGTTTTTTATGGGTGTTTTACTCGCACGGAAACGTTGGCTTTAAATGTTACTACTGAAATAAAGGAAGAGACACTGAAAATGTAGCTATTAAATGTAGAACCACCTGCAAGTTTTGCAATGTTAAATGCCAGATGAGAGATCGCGTTATGATGGAATTCCATATTGTATCTCAAATATTCCAAAGATTTATTTTTAAAACACCTTCACCAAAGGAATAATTGCGACAGATCTTGGGCTGAAACTGTTTAGATTTTTCCTTATAAATCTTTTCAGCAACGTCAAACAAGGCCTTCTCTTTTGGCGTTAACACATCTAATGTGAGCAAATGACATATGTATTTCATTTCCTCCGGAGTTATGGAATATCTTTTATTTCTCGATTTTTCATCCACTGACATAAATTTGAAAGAGAAAAAAGAAACACGTCGTCATTGCACGAAAAAATTACACCAAGACATCGCATTCTGAGAAGAGCATACCTAACGTTTTTAGTTTTATTATTTATAATAATAGATTCGCCACAGTATCATGTACTGCATGTAAACTGAACAAAACTACACAAAATTCTATACGTACGTTTAGCAGCGTCAAATATATCTTCTTTCCATTTCTGTAATGTTGTTGGATCACACTCAAGTTTCTCTGACATGCTTTCTAATTCTTTCTGCATGATGGCGGTTTTATCTTTAGCCTAGAACCATGCATATAAAAGTACAGAACACATTATTATTTTTCCAAGAGAAGATTATACATTTCAGTACTCCCCTTTCCGTGCATGGGAAATTTGCATTGCATCTACATATTTTTCAATCCTCCACGCTTTAAATTTCTACCCACACCTTTTTTTTTAATAAATTTGTTTCTGTCTTATTTTTTGACGAAAACTACCGAAACGGATTTGGCAAAGTATTTGTAGCTATGTTATGTGACAAGGGGGGATTTCGTTTTAAACTATTCGGCATATTTGCTTACACTTTTTAGGCTAAGCCAATCAGAATGCCTAAATTTTTAATACATCATGTAAAATGATGATTATTCTGATTGGGTTACTGAAAATGTAAACAAACTTACTGATTGGTCTAAAACGAAATTTCCCTTGTTATGGTTTCCCTTGTTATGGTATAGTTACTATTACTATTAGGTAAAAAATAGAAAAATTAATAACTTTTGTATATCTTTTCGCAAGAATACTTGACAGTTTGGTTATTTTTCTTTTATTCCACTCCAGTGCATGTTCAGTCAGCAATTCCTCTCGTCCTATGTATGCATACATCAGAATTAAACGTTTAACTGGTTTGATAATTTTATTGCACATGCTTACCTTCAGGTAACATATGCTTGGTAGTGCACCCTAACCGCGAGAAATGACTGTTAATCTGTTCTACTTCCTCTCCTGTTGTTGCAGAAGCGCCATCTTGCCATCGCCCTCCCCAAATAACCTGCAAAAAAGATTACACAATGGACACTGCACTTGACTGCACACTTGCCACGTACGAAATATAAAAGCACAAGGAAATTTACCTGGCAATACCAAGCATGTGCTTTGGCATGCATTACGGAAAGAGCAGGTTTCATCTTTTGAGATGTGGTTACATCATTTTTACACAGCCAAGGCCAATACTTGCAGATGACATCATACCAGAAGAATTGTGTTGTACGACGAAGGTAATATTCCTTTTGCATATAATGTGCATAGCCATACACTTCTCCGTGCTTCATGCTAACTGCATGCTGGGCAACACTGTGACGACAGCCAGCAATTTCTAGCCCAGTTTCATCAACAATTTTCTTTTTCTTCAAAGTATTTCCAGCAGCATGCCAAATAGAATCGCCACACTTAGAATCATCTGTGACCTAGGGTAAAGTATAGCCGAATTGAAACAGCTCGATTTTAGATTATTTTTATACGTACAGTAGATCCACTTGGTATAAAAATAATCTAAATATTTGTTACAAATCATAGCATTACGGTCAGAAACTTCCCACACCAAATGTCACACATTGATATTTAATGGGACTATTGTTCTATAATTGTTTTGAGGTAAACGAAAATTCGTATTGTTTGAGAAGACAAATTGTAACAATACCTTTTCCTTTCCTTTTTTGTAAATTTTACAGAGATGATGTTGAACTTTTTCATTTGAAGCAATAAAAGCATCTCCATAGTAGCAATCTCTTTTCCTGCTAAATAATTTCAATTTATCCTCTTTAAAACATACATATGATGAAATAACTTTGAAACTCTTTCTAGGTGATATACAAGACGCATTTCAGTTGTATATGAGCTGACGATTTCCCTCCAAGCTAGTGCATTCCTGCAATGCATCGTCTGTGATTCAGTGTACAAAATGTACTTACATCCCAGCAGATTTGTACCGATAAAGTTTCATGTTACCATCCATGTGAACGGAGTGTTGCTGCTGTTCACATGCAGGGCACTCCATCCAGTTAATATGCCGTAGTTTGTTCAATTCATATTGGCAATATTTCCATTCACGAAAAGAGCTACCAAATGTTTTGCTGTTAATTGTTCCCATCTATATAAAAGATAGAGAAAGATACATCAAACTAATATCTGTACAACTATTTAACTACTGAGGCAATTAGCAAACATAATCATAAAAGAACAGGATTCCATTTTTTGCATGAAGCGATACATTGAAGTTGATACTTAGAAGTTGGTTTAAACGTACCCGCCCTTTTTGTATCGAAAACATTTCTAGTGATTTCACAAAACTATTTTGAGAAATTCCAGGAACAATCTTCTGTAAATTATCCCAGAAATGAAAGAGATCTTGGTGAAATACATATGTCATGTCACGAATAGTTCCAGGCCAAAACCCCAGCTGTATTAAAACATGGGGACTTGTTGATGAAATAACATTGTCACATTGTTTACATTCATATTTTGTGTGACTAATGTCGAATCTACCTGAAGATATAATAATAAATATTTAACCAATTAGCACAAAAATATAAGTTTTGAGTTCCATGATAGAGATCAACATTTGGCCTATAAAGCCTATCTGAATAGCATCATCTGGTTTGAATCTTGCAGGAGCTAGGTTCAGCCTACATAATGTATCATTTATAGCTACAGTATAAAACTATAGAATCTATTTCAGAAAGACAATGTTTTTGTGAATAAAAAAGACAACTAAAATAGCATACCTTTCAATGTTACAGCAATGCAACCCATACCCTTCTCATCATATAAAATATTGCAAGGAAATAGGCATGTGGGACAAATAACATCACCAAATGGAAGGGACCGTTCTAAAAAATACATAGACAATTCATATATTTTCAGAAACTGTTTGAAGAACCCTCTAAAAATGGCAGAACTTTCCTACCAAGGGAAAACATTATCTCACACCTAGAGTTTCACAAAGATGCTGAGATAATACAAAGATAATACTGACTGGTCAATTTTTTTTACAAATTTCATGTGACAAATATGTTTCTGTGTTTCTTTATTTGAAAAAGACCTAATAAAATTTTTTATGAGAAAATTTGCCAATGAATATTTACTCATGTAAAATGAACTTTAGGTTTGACATAAATGCTAAATAGATCATGCTAAATTTCATATTTAAAGAGCATCTTGAGAGTATCACGGTCACAATGCACCTTTTGACACAAGGTATAAGTTACATCTTTTTAGCCATGCTATAATATTTACCAACAGTAATCCATTCCAGTTTGCTGTTAATTGAGGCTGTTGGAGGAATAGGTTCATGAAAACCATTCAAAATTGCATCTCGATCATGAAATGGATGGTTCTTATGGTTCTCCTCATCACAATCCCCACAGACATATCTATGTGAAATGCAGTCTTGACATCCAATAACTGCCATGGCATCTTTACAGCTTTCGCATAACAATTCATCAAAAATGCCAATGGAAAATTTAGTTTGCAGCAAAACTTCGATTAAACTACTTCTGACTTCCTCCCAGCTTTCATAAAGGGAATTTTGTCTTTCATGCCAGGTTCGTTTCTTTTGCTGACCACCACATTTCCAGTTACATAATAATCCTTTTGCTTCTTCAAGGATATCATTCATTGTCACATCTAAACAAATCGATGATACTGCTTTAAAAATGAGCTGCTAGGTAGAATGCCACAAAATCATTGTACACCATATTACACCATTAAGTTTAATATACATTCGATAAACCAAGTTTTGTAAAGTAGCAGGGTCTTTAAATTCCAATATATAAATGCATAAACAGTATCCATATTGGAAAGTTTGCAATATGTGTGAATGATGAGTCACAATCTTCCCTGCACACAGCCAATCTAGCAATGTGGCAGCATGTGTATAATGTCTAGTCAGTAGTCACAGAGGACACAAAGCTATACGAACGTTGTTTAGATAATAAATATTGACTTTTAGCACATCATATTTTACAATAGCGGTTCAAAATGTCAACAAAGCGGATTAAAAACTTCACAGCATTTTTAGCTGTTGTAATGTACATATTTATATTAGATCCATACCCTCTACAGCGTTTGTCGTTACATCCATATCTGATTCACGATCCAATAAACTTACTTCTGGTGGTTCTTGTTCTACGTAAAAAGTGACAAAATAATAAATCATCCGAATGATGGGACCTATCTGGCGTAGGTTCTGTGTAAAATGTTACAAACAGAAGCATACCTTGGAAAATATTATCGCTGTGTTCCTCTAAGTTTTTTGATCTTGAACTAGAGGCGGTATCATCGCGATTATAATACTTTGGATTGTAAGTATTTTTGCAACTCCGTTGGCCAGTTTTTGGATCCGTGCTATACTCATAATGAATAGGCTTTCTTCTCTTTTTTCGCTTTTCTAAAATATCATTACCTTGCCTAATAAGACAATCCATGGAAGGGAGTTTCTTCTTGCGAGCATTGGCAGCCCTTTCAAAATTCTCCGCCATTGTGAAAGATTTGAGTTGGTTTTGACCCAGTTTCTTTCCGTTTCATAATGCTCGGCCACGCGTCGCGAAATTATTGTTTTAGTAATTTCGGATGTGTTTAAGAATTTATTGATATAATAAATTTAGAAGTGGAGCTCATGTTGAAAAAGGGACAGGGATGCATATTTGAGAATTTCTACAATGTCTGTTGCACTTCATTTTATTGTGTTTTTTCTTTCAGGGTGATTTCAATTTCACGTACTTTTCAGAACCATTTCTCTATAGGGATGGACAACAGGAGTTGCAACTGAATTGTTTGGAAAGAAACGTATTAAGTATTTTACATCATATGGATTATCATTGTAAAATTTATTGAACATTTGTAGCAATTATAGATGTAATTGAACTATACTCAATCAAATTTCCAATAGTTTGAGATTCCGAAAATTACTATTTTCTTCTTACAACTCATGTGTTAAGTTTAATGTAGAGATTTCATAGAATATATAATTATGCATGTCATTAGTTATAGTACCTTAACTATCTATATAGTAAATAGTAGCATTCTGAAACATTTTTAATATTAGGTGGTTGGCTATTTAAATTCCATAATGCAACATTAACAAAACCAAACAAAGTTAAATCACAATGGTTAAAACCAGAACAAGTGTGAAGGTTAAAAATGCGATCAATTTCCATTTGAACATGAGCTATATATGGATAGGTCTGAAAATTTATTGCAAAAATTTAAGGTCCATTGAGAACATTTGTAACCTGCACACTTGGAAAATGAAAAAAAAATTCTTGAGAAACTGTAAAAGAACAATTGTTTCAGCTGTTCAGGATGCATTTCAGTGCCATCGGCAGTGGATTGGCAGGCTCTGACCATATCCACATAATTTTTGCCTTGATTGTAGGTTTCCTATATTTAAAAAATCTTCTTTTCTATAAAATATATACAAGATTTTACCTGTAATTACCTCTATGACGTAGACTATTATCAATAAAAACACAATCGTCTATTGATAACGTCTCTGCTATAAGTAAACAAACAATTACTATGAAGTGGTTTATGACTATGCAGTTAATTTATTATAATGGGTTAAACTATCAGCTCACTTCATATTGTCCTATTTGGGTGTGAAAGAAGACTTTTTAGGTGAAAGAGTTGCCAGAAAAATTACAGATTTCATAGCATCATTTAGTACAACTGCATGTATTTCTCTCACTTTATCCATTTTTGTTTTGCGCTGAAATGAATAAATTATGATATTGTGACTATTAAAAACACATACATGCAATGTCAGTCTCCATCCCCTATCATACTCTAGCTGTGATAACAAACAACTAAAAAACACATTTTTTGGAATTGATTGCCCAGTGAGCCCTCTTTTTACAATAAATAGACCAACGTCTACGTCGGTGAATAACTATGAACATGGAAATGTTTTTGATACACGTTTTCGGTAATTTTTTTTTTTTTAAAAAAATTTTTTTTTGAAAAATTGTATCACTTTTTAATCAAGTCTTCTTTATCTAATCTTCGTTTATACCGTTTATAATATGTACATGAAAAGTTAAAAAACTCCAGTATTGGACAAAAAAGCTCACACCATCACTTGTAAACTAAAAGCGTTAATTAAATTGATGAAAATTTACTTGTAAAACTACGAACGTATAAACAATTATATATTTCTAACAGGTGAGAAGTAACATCTTTCCTGGAAAAGTCATTATGACAGCCAAAAACGCAGCAAAAATTCAGAATTTTCAAAATTTATTGCAAGGCGGGGAAAAAGATTTATACAATAAATTCAAAATATTATTGTGAAAAACCAGGAGGGAGAAGACTCAATTTTTGTCTTTGGATCGCGGTATGTCAGTGGTAACTACCCAGGCCATTTAGGACCATGTGGCGTCAGCAAAGCTCAAAATCCGGCATCTTTTTGGCTTCACTTGATGATGACGAGCGAGTCCTCCAGGAATTATAATATAGCTCAGTGCGTGAGGTCTATTGCATAATATGGCGGACAACTTTGATTTCGTAATTGCACATCCTGTGTGTAAATATCCGAGCGGAATTAGTACCCTCGCCTGGTGCTCTGCACCGGCTCGGGGATCAGCCAAATATTATTACCAAAATCGCTGTTTTCTTTTTTTCGAAATAAGAAATCACAGGACCGACCACTACAATTGTTTCGCTTCTTTTTTTAGTTATCTGGCAACCCTGTTACGTTTCGATTATTATACTTCAATGACTGAAATACGCTTGCTTTAAAAAATGCTTAGACAACGCCGCAACTAAATTGGAAACAAAACAGGGACTGTCCACTAATCACTCATTATCAAATTGTGAGCCAAGTATTTGCAAGTAAAGTACACTTCCAAGCAAAGATTAAGTATGCACGCGCGTGGTAGGGGCTTCCGAGTAGATCGAGTATTTGTAAACACGTCAAAAATGTTCCCATGCTTGTGCGAAACCGTAATGCATCCATAATACGCATTAAGTATTACCAGCTTTTATTATTGTGCGTCCATAATGAAATTATAAGCTTTTAGCGCCCATCCCGACACCAAAAAAGGTTTTCTTGCATGTTAATAACCTTGCATGCTTTTAAAAAATGTTTGAACCGAGTAGGCAAACAAATATGCCATATATGGAGAAGAAACAGGGCCGGTCAAGTATTCATTCAATGTCACTATCTGGGGCAAACATTTTCAAGAAAAATACCTCTTCGAAGAGATGATTTATTTTGCACATACGGTATATTACCTGACTTTCTGAAAAATTTCAAGGCCCAATTGTATACGAAGGCTTGAAGGTGGTATCCACCGGATAGTGATAGTGAGAGTGAGTAATGTTTAATATGCCGAAGCAACAGTGCTCTTCAGAAGTAACCTGACACTGCGGTTGCGGTCGACTGTTAGAAACCGCAGACGACCGGAAGGGAAAAAATACGATCGCGGATGCGGCTCACTTCCAAACGGAATGTTATGAACTGATGAAATAGAGAACACAATAATGAAATCGGAAACATCTTCAGAAATTTTTGCCCGACCGAATTCGACCTAGGCTCAACATCGAGCTCATCGCGGTTAACCTACGTCCACTGACCGGGGTTTTTGTTAGGTTATTTCTGGACAGTAATGTATATGCATGCTTTATACACCGAAAGCTCTCCAAGGATGACATACATGCAAGTATGAGGGAAACTCTATATAAACATGCACGCTATTGATTAAAATGAATGGCGACCAAGCCGGGCATTACAAGTTTTCATATGCACCTCATATTCATGTAGCCTCTTAATGTGATGATGCGATTTTAGCGGCCTCCAGCGATAGCAATAACGATTTATTGGAAATAGCCTTGCTTTTCAACATGCTGACACTTTGCTACGTGTCCCGGCTAATTGTTGCTCGTGTGTAGAGTACATCAATATTTCCGTAGTTGTTATGACGACATATTATAACTGTGATACAAATGGAAACTCGTCATCCGGAACGTTATAGAATTCATCATTTGTAGGTGATCTCAATTGGAATATGCCACTTTAGTATTATCCGCGCTTCTGAAATCCCCGGCATAATTTATCGAGTCGGTGCAGAAAACAGCGTTGAGAATTACGTACCCAACACTATCTTATAATGAAGCATTGCACGAAAGCAATATTAAATCACTAAGTACAAGAAGAGACGAAGGATGTGCGAGACTAATCAAGTCACTGCAATTCACCATACCATCCATTAACTCCATGCAATAATGCAATCCGGTCGAATTTACCGAACTCACGACTATGATTTTCGTAATATCAATCATGAACTTTTACCAATAATGCCTGATCTTTTTCCATGTTTAATAATTGTAATCCAGTTTTCAACTGCAAAGTGGAATTTAATAAACCATTTTCATTCTCATTCAAGGAATATTAAATTTGTATATATATACTTCGTGTGTGAGAAGTGAAGAGCTGGCGACCAGAATGGGCGTTAAATAATTAGTATAGAAATTTCATTCATAGAGGATGCGAAGGTTTTCATATGAATCTCATATATAATAAATATGCACTCCTAAAGGGATTACGTTGATACGTTTCGATTATTTATTACTTTAATGATTGAAATACGCTTGCTTTAAAAAAGGCTCAGACAACGCAGCCACTAAATTGGAAACGAAACAGGGACTGTCGACTAATTACTCACCATGAAATTGTGAGCCATTTGCAAGTAAAGTATACCCAAACATTTGCAAGTAAAATTAAGTACCCTTCCAAGCAAATTAAAATGAAGCATGCACGTGCATGGTAGGGGCTTCCGAGTAGATCGATTATTTTTAAACACGCGTCAGACATGTTCACATACTCATGCGCAACCGTAATACATACATAATACGCATTAGGTATTACCAGCTTTTATGAATGTGCACCCATGATCAAAATAAGCTTCTAGCGCCCGTCTCGATAACAAAAAATGTTTTTTCGTATGCTAATAACCTTGCATGCTTTTAAAAAATGTTTAAACTGCGCAGGCAAACAAATATGCCATATATGGAAAAGAAACAGGGGCGGTCAAGTAATCATTCAATGTCACTATCCGAGGCAAACATTTTGAAAAAAAATACCTCTTCAAAGAGATGATTTACACACAGACACATGCACATACAGTATATTACCTGGCTTTCTGAAAAATTCGAAGGCAAATTGTACGAAGGCTTGAAGGCGGCATCAACCGGATAGTGATTTTTTCTAAGAATGCTCGAAAAACGAAAAAAAAATCTTTCGAACCAACAAAAGGACTTCGATTTACGAATGCTAATCGATTTAATCAAAGTTATGGCTAAGAACTTTGGAGTTTAAAGCAATTAAAAAAAAACTATCCGGTGGATAGCGCTATCCGGGTTTCATGACAACCGCCCAAGTTGTTAAATTATATAACTTAGTGGCAGCTACGTTTCTGAAATCAACAGTTTTGTGCAGCAGAGAGTTAGAATTTCGAAATGTTTAATTTGCCGAAGGGAAAAACACGAGTCCAAACGGATTGTTATGAACTGCTTAGATAGAGAACACAATAATCAAATCGTAAACATCTTTAGAAATTTTCGCCCGATCGAATTCGACCTAGCTTCAACATCTGGCTTATTG